ACTGACCGTTACAGGGTGAGGACCTGTCCTCTCACCGAATCCCAGCACCATGACCCAGAGCGGCACAACAAAGCAGGAAGCAGGTGCAAATATGTCAGCGGAGCAAATCTGGGACTGAGCCCAGCACTGCAAACCTCTGATGCTAACTCTGAGCATCTATTTACTAACTGCATCCACCCCCCCCCCCCAACGCGCACAGAGTGTGAGACTGTACAACATACAGAACAGGCAGCTTTTAATATTGATGATTATGAGAACGCACCGGTGTATACAGTGACACAAGCAGACACAGACAAAAGCCACACAACTTAACATACACTGAGATCTACAAGACACATGGAGGAACAGTAGAGTGTGTGTGTGTGTGTGTGTGTGTGTGTGAGATGCATCAGCAGGCCTGCTGTAACTGCATGATTGATGCCCCCTTTTAATCATATCTAATGCAATTACTGGGCATGGCTGGGCTGCTCGATTTGTTCTGGACAGGTGGCCTGGCTGTCACCGGCGGATACGGCGCACGGCCGCGTCCACAATGCCACTACACATGATTATGCAAATGTAGGGATCACCGCCCCACTTTCCCAGGAGGGGGAGCTGGCGACGGGGGCGGGGCCATTGTTCCCTAGTCATGTGGAAAAAACAAGCTTGTGGTGGGAGCCCCCCCACCCCCCAAACTGGGGGCTTCAGGATGTTGCAGCCTTCAAGGTCAAAGGCCGCCGGTATGAAGGGTTCTTACATAGTAGCGGGCTAGTGTGGCACATGAGCGCACCTAAATCCCCCCACCCCCCCGCCGTCCCATAGGCTCAGTATCGCCGCCCTGGCCTGTAGGCCTGGCAGCACGCCCCAGCGTCACATGGCATGAGGGAGCGATGACCCAAAACAAGGGGCAGGTGTAGCTGCATGCGTGTCTCTGTTCCGTCACCCTGTCATCTCAACCGGCCACGTTGGCCTTGCTGACTCAGGCCACCGCTCTCCCAGCGAAGGGCTTGTTATCGCAGCTGCTGGGGGGGGGGGGGGTGCTGATTACCTGTGCTGCCAGCTGGAGCTGCCTACACCCTAAACGTGCTAAACCCCCAGAGATGTCATCTCCCCCACCCTGAGCCATGACATGTTAGGGAGCGTCTCATCCTGGCTGCAGTAAATGTCAGCAGATATATTTTTGTCCTAAATTGTCCTGTTTAGAATGTTCTGTTTGTGTACTGGGTACTTTTAAAATCTGTTTATACCATGCTTACTTGTCTGCTCTACATGTGCTGTCTCCACACTTTCTCTTATTATTCAGTACATGTTTGTCTGCCTGCCCTTTACATATATCACTGCTGTGTGCAGCAGAATCACTGCCTGCGATCAGCAAAGTTAATCTTAAATGCTTCCTGGTCACCAGGACGACCCGCCCAACACTCAGGCCGCGCCAGCCGGAGGCGTCGACACCTCGGAGGACGGGTGGATACGGCAGCCGCTCCGCATCATTCCACACGGAGGTTCCCAAACACACCCCCGTACATTATAAAGGTCGAAGGTCGCAGACTTTATCTAGTCAGTGTAAGTCAGAGGGGGTATTTCCCAGCTCACGGATGCTGTAGTCATCCGGTTACACTGGCAGGACACACTGTGCTCAGAGTCTGCTACCCAGGGTGGGGGCGCGTTAGCAGTGGAAAAAGCTCCTCCCCCCCTCCCTGGCTCCCCCCTCCCAGTCTCTCTCTCTCTCTCTCTCTCTCTAGTGAGCATTTACATGGCAGGGCCATGTTCTCCCAGCACCGGGTCCCAGTTTACGCACTATCAGCACTTTCTGCTACAAAACAGCTCCTGGTCCCAGGGAGTAAATGCCCCTTAAGGACACTTAGAGCTGCTACTCCACCACCAGAGGGCTCTTCTCCTCTTACACAGCGTCCTGCTGCATCACATATCTAGCAGTAAAACGAAGATGGAACCAACATCTCAGCTCTGAATAATCACTGGGCGGTTCAACGCCATGCATTAAGTGACAGCGGGTGGGGAGGTGAGGGAGGAGGGCTGTTGCCAGGCAACCCACCCTAAAATAGGTGCAAAGACAGAAGGAAATGTCAGGACTTTACCACCGAAAACAGAGTTGATGCAGCAACAATTCTGGACACCCAGGAGAGCGAAAGCCAGGAAAGAGCGAGAAAGAAAAAACAGGAAAGCAGCAACCAGCCCTTATTAATACGTGGGCTTCTGGACCAGCGTTAGCATAGGCTAACAGCGGCAAAGAAAGCATTGATTGGACCTAATGGAGGCGGAGCCCTTGAGGGAATTATCCTCGAAGGGGCGGGGCCCCAGAAGGCCTTAGTGTCGGAGGCGGCGGGGCCCCGGCAGGCCTTTGTGTCGGAGGAGGCGGGGCCCCGGCAGGCCTTAGTGTCGGAGGCGGCGGGGCCCCGGCAGGCCTTAGTGTCGGAGGCGGCGGGGCCC